TAAACGGTATATTTGTGGTGTAACATGCTCCCGCCGATGTCGTACTTTGTTTCAATCAATTTGAGGGTTGGCACTATCAACTAACGAGTTTTAGTAAACTAGTTACTTGATATTGTTGTAAAAGATGACAAAATGTTGAAATAAATATACAAAAATCACGGGTAAACTACCCGTGTTTGAATTCAGCAGTGTTTAAAGATCCGCCATGATCACTATGAACGAAATGTGGGGATCTTAATAAAAATAGATAGGACCCTGGTAAGAGCTCGCGTTTACTATATTTTATAATAAGCTTGTATATATATTATTATATAATAGCTGTGCCCGCGGTTTCACCCTCATTAATTTTATAGTATATGTGGTATTCTTATGTATAAGCCATTAGTGTAAAGTTCTATTTATATTATATATTTCAGTTGTCTAGTACCCATAACACAAGCTTAGTTTGGGACTAGATGGCGCTGTGTGAATTGTTCAGAGTTATTTATTATTATTCATACGACGTAGTATTCTTTATAATTGAATTCAGGTTGTTTCAAAATACAATTTGGCACAGCCCTAGTTTTTGTTTCCAATAAAAATCAATCAACGTTCACCGACGAGTGTATAAACGTTGTTTTTGGTGTGCGTGCGCTCACAGGGAGATTGTGTCGAGGGCCAACCTTACCCCGGGCAATAGGGATGTACACTCGTTAGTGCTGCACTTACTACGGTAATTATACGTATCGATAAATTATGGAATATTAATTTTCTGAGACATGCTTGAGTATGTGCCACGTATTTTTTTTATTGGGGCGTTTGAGCTACTGTCAGGTGCTAAGACCTGTATAGATCTATTGTACTCGCCCTTATTCAAAGTTCGCTACCTAGACCCGTGAGGGACAAGAATTGAAGAAACGATGGTTTTTATCTCGTCAGGATATAGGAGATAAAAAAAAACGTTGTGCCACGTATCGTTCAATTATTGTTATTTCAGTTCCTAATATCAAGCAAACTCAGTCAAGCCTTTTCTGAGTTTAGCCATTATAAAGAAAACGAATACAAAAAGGAAAAAATAATTAATATTCATAATATCAGTTTGAAGTGCAAGTACTATATCTTTTGTTTAAAAAAATAAATTCAATGACTTGATTCATTGTGTGGTGATCCTTAATTCAGCATAATGGTTCTAGCATAGATTAAATATATTTTACGTATTGATTTTAATCTACATGTCTATAGGCTATAGTTCGATAATAATTTAGTTTATTTTATTGTTTGATAACGATGAAATAGCAATATAATCTTTAATAATAATCTATATAGGCCTAAATTGAATATTACGAGCGCCACGGTGTAATCGATATCACACATAAATTGGATACTTCAAATTTTATTTAGTAACATATATATCTTTATATATAAAAATTACGTGTCCCATTGTTTGTCCGAGATGGACTCCTAAACTACTGAACCTATTGCAAATTTGATTTGCGCATTGTGTGCAATTTGATCCAACTTGAAAGATAGGATAGCTTATATCTCAATTTATAGTCACAATATTATTTTATTGCAAATTATTTGTCTATTATTAGCGAGAACAACGCGTGGCCGGATCTGCTAGTATATATATGTATAGTATATAAAATGCAAGCTTGATAGCGTAGGCAATAAAATTATTAATAATACATTGCAATGAACATAACACTAGTGTCTAATTACACTAATTGTTAGTTAGTATTTAAAATGTATAATAGCAAGTTTGGAAACATTGGAAGTAGCTAGGTCAATATGGTGGTCTCAGTGGTCTAACTGAATAGCACTCTGCTTTACTTCCGATGGTTGCGGGTTCGATTCCTCGCACGATACAAACACTTTTATTTAAGAGTATTGATTGTATCAGTCTGGGTGTTTTCTACAGACATATGTATGTATTGTATGTATTTGTAAAAAAAGGATATATGTATATATTTGTATCAGTCTAGTACACATAACTCAAAATCGGATTCCCCTGCATTTACATTTCTTTTTATTTATTTACATATGAAAATGGTATTTCTTATATAAAAGAATTGACGTTTGGCATTCCCATTAGTGTATATAATATGATTCATATGATATTTATTTCTTCGGTTATTTATCGTTATCGATGTACTCACATGTCTTCTCTGTATCATATATGTATAGAAATATAAATAATTGCCGTCCATAAAATTTAGTAGGTATTATAAAGAGATTATTTTTAACTGGAATAAGATAACAATGAGCAAATTATTTTTAGTGAAGCAAGTGATAAATATGATAATTGTAGTGAATTGTTTGGTTACTTTGTTAAGTTCAAAATATTCCTAATATAATTGTCACTTATAAAATAAATTAAGATCTCTTAAGTCCTATAAAATAATGGGTGAACCATAATTTTATAATAGAAATATCAATACAGTAATCTATACATCTATACATATAAATAAAATTGGAGTGTCTGTTTGTAATATTGAAATAACCGTTTTTTACTACATGAATATGAATATAAACGGTACATACACCAAAATAAATTTTTAACAATATTTGGCTGTCTGTTTGTTCGGCTAATCTCTGAAATGGCTGGGCCGATTTTGACGGGACTTTTTTTTTGCAGGTAACTCATGTAATAAGGAGTAACTTAGGCTACTTTTATTTTAGAAAAATTAAGTTAAATTCCTCGCGGACGAAGTCGCGTGTACTGACAGCCTTTCTATATAATGAAATCGTAAAATCGTGACTAAAAAGGATCATAGATAAGGCTTCACATAAAAAAGGCTAGAGAAATTGTTATGAAATTTTCGCAGAATGTGTCGTCAATTATAGGCTAAATAGAATTGAATACCCTCTATTGAAGTGATATAATTATTTTTGACAATTATTTTTCATACGCCATTTACATTGTATAATAATAATAAACCAGGACAGTTCACTATCAAGTCCCAAGCTAAGCAGAGCTTGTGTTATAGCTACTAGATAATATTTTGTAAATACATACATATTATACATAGAAAACACTCACAATCATACCAATAAACAATAATAGTCATGAATTAACGTTTGTACTGTGCAAAGAATCAAACCCACGACCATCTGAACTAAGGCGGCGTCTAATCGCTAGACCACTGAGGGCGATAATTAAATATTAGAATATATTTGTTAAGACGTCTCTATTATATATATCTATAGGTAGTATAAAATGGAAGTGGCAGATATGAATAGTGCTTGACGGACTTTGTATCAGTCTTGTCAACTTTCTAATTTATATGCCTATCAAATCAACATACATGTAATACTAGCTGACCCACGCAACTTCGTCTGCATCACACACACTTGATATTTATTATTATATGAATAATTTTCTCCGTTTTTGTAACATTTTGCAATTTTTTGATGCTTTGCGTTTCTGGATCTCTGATTGGTCGTAGCGTAATGTTATATAGCTTAAAGCATTCCTCTACAAATGGACTTTCCAGTACAAAAAGAATTTTTCAATTCGAACCAGTAGTTCCTGTGATTAGCGCGTTCAAACAAACAAACTCTTCAGCTTTATAATATTATTATAGTATATATATTATATATATAAGTATATAGATAAGTATAAAATTAATACATTGGAAATTTAGAATTAATTAAAGAATTTTGAATCTTGAAAGATATATTTAACTGCCAACTCGATTTGAAAGCATTAATTAATTAACGTGAATTATAATATAAACATGTCGGACATGTTCAGTTTAGAGGGCTTACAAAATATTAAAATGCTACAAAAATGATTAAATTTAAATGTTAAATAATAATAAAAGAAGAACAATGTCGTAATAATATAAAAGTAACAACATAAGTATATATAAATAAAAACTAACTCGTTTATATCGATATTTTCATTACATCACTAAAAGCAAACTCAGGGGAGGTTTGGAAACGCACAATGTATGATAAAGCACGATTGTGTATAATATGAAATTGTCAACTATATTCATCATAACGATTCTAATATACATATATCGAATATATACTATCTGATTGTGATAATATACATATTTTAAATAAGTATAGATAACGAAAAATTGTTTATACATTTAGCCGCTTATTTATAATAGAAGGCGTGACGAAGTATAAAATTCAATTGTTGGAGTCGATTTGTTTTACGAACTGATTATTAATTTCATTGCGGTTATCTTACTAAGAAAATATATCGAGATTTACGTATTAAGTAAAAATTACACGAAATTATAAGTTATTTTATCTTATACATTATACAACACAAACGGAGAATAAAATATTTCATAGCCTTTGGCAGGTTATAGCTATTATCTTTATTTTGCACTGTCATGTTACAAGTCACTTATTAAAACAAAACAAGTCTACGCCTAAGCTAAATATACATACGTACTTACATGTTTACTTACAAGCAATCTACTTCCGTATCTTGGATAAATTTATGGTTTTATATTAAGTTTGTGTTTTAATTATAGTTTTTTTTTAACAATGATAATGGAATTTTGCACTCGTTTTCGCTGGCGGGGTATACATTTATTAAATATTATTATTTATAATATATTAATTATTATCTATAAATAAATAAAATTTAAGTGTCTGTTTATAATTTCACAGTAACACCTTACAGTTTGTTCTTGTTAATCTCTGAAACGGCTTGACCAATTTTGATGGGACTTTCACTCACAGACTGCTAATGTTATAAGGAATAATTAAATAAAATTTTAGGAAATTTATTTATTATAATAAAAAAAAGATAAATTCCACGCGTATGAAATCGCAGGTATTATTTATTAATTCCGATTCAATTAATGAATAACTTTTACTTTATCGTTCTTAAAAGTCTACCTAATGTTCAATATGTAAAATCAAAATCTAAAATAATTTCTACTAAATGGGTCACAGAGAATTCACCCAAACACATATTAATTAACAAGTACCTGCTTTCTAGAGCACTTACTCACTCAATAAGATTCAAATCGTCCGTGTGTTTGTTACAGGAAGCATCTGAAACGGACTTCAAAGACCGCATACATCAAACAACTCTACATCAATCCCAAGTGGCTATTAAATGCTAATTCAATCATAAAAACAAACATGACATGCTATTTCCGTACAAATCGCGGGTGAATTTTAACACATGAGCGCGGAAACGGGACAGGAAGATAAGAAAGAGACAGACGACATGCAAACTGTGGTCTCAAATTACGTAGCACCTAATTTAATAGAACAAGCTGATAGTAGACTGATAGATATACACAATGGATTTAATAATGATAGCTCTTATTCTATAGATTATCAATATGCTGAGGAACTAGATAGACTGACTCCAGAAGAGAAAATAAATGTCGACGAAGAAGACAGAGAGGAAGAATTAGTAATAGCCGACGATGTAGATGAATCCGGACAAGAATCTCATAACAGTAAAAGCGCAGATGACAGCAACCCTGAGAATGTGGAAAGTATTGATGTCAGGAATGAAGAGTTCAGAAAAGATGAATCCTCGGAACCGTCGTGGCATCCACACGTTTATGGGAAGCCACCCAAAAAGCCAACACCTCATACAATAGAGTACATATTAGGTATATCGAACGTTGAAAGGAATAAAGAGGAACCCAAGAGATCCAGCGTTAGTCAGTTGATGAACGTTAAGAGAAATTTCGAAGCTAAGAAATCTTTTTGTTTTGACAAGAATATACAAGTACAAACCGATTTGACTGATAGAAAATTTAATTTAAGTGTACATAAGAATAAACTGCAGGAACAGTTGTTGCAGAGGGGTGTGAGGACTAGTGAAAGTGAGGAGAAAGTGCAATATTACAAGTGCGATGATCAGCCGTTGAATTTGTCTGTGCCAAAGTCTAAGGAGTGGAGTGTTAATGAAGAGGATAAAATTGTGAAAGGTGAGTTCTAAACAGTAATACTATCATCACGCGTAGATTTAAGGTTAGATTTAAAAAATACAAAGGCGTGGGAGGGTACTTTTGTCTCACCTGTTACAGCCACAAAGCAAGTTCTTACCTTGGGACTAGATGTCTGTGTATTTACACAGACGTCTAGTCCCAATACCTCTGGACAATTCAGGTCAGTCAGGTCAGTTAGATCATCATGACAAATTTGCTAAGAATTTATCACGATGGTTTCCAGGAGGAACCGTGTGGATGTCAACCTGACATGGTACATTGCTAGCAATAAGACCATCAGTCCACATCACTAACAATTCCTTTTCCCCATGTCCAGGTATTAATTATGTAATTTAGATTCTGTAATAAAAAAGTTTCGGTTTCAAAATGACAACTCATACAGTAACAGTCCCACACACGTGGCTCAACAAACAAATGGATTATTCCACGAACGTACTGAGGTCGGTATAGGCTATAAACTGGCTGTGTTGTAAATCAGAGTCAATTAGTCGAAAGAGTTCCACTCAAAGTGCTCGCGTTTGAGTTACTGTAATAATAATTTTAGTGTACGTCGATGAACGCAAATGGACTACGTACACGCAAAATAATTGATATTATTGTCTATGACTGTAAAACATAAAGTTACTAGTTGTGCCCGCGGTTTCACCCGCATTAAATTTCAATAAAAAATATATCCTATATGTTATTCTGATGCATAAGCTACATTACTGTAAAGTTTCATCAAAATCCGTTCAGTAGTTTTTGCGTGAAAGAGTAACAAACATCAATACTTACAAACTTTCGCATATATAATATTACTATTGATTAAGATTATCAATACCAGTATTATAAAGAGATAAAGTTTGTGATTTTGTATGTTCAGTGTAATATCCGGGACTACTGATTCGAGTTTCAAAATTATTTTGGTTTTTAAATGACGTATTTATCGAGAAAGGCCCGTGTGTAAACCGTTTAAGTCTAAGGCAAGCAAAGATGCTATTGCAGTACTGAGTTTGTTAAGTCTACCATTTATTAATAAACTTAATGACTTACAAACTAAAGTCCATATCAAAATAAACTTATAACGCAATCTATCCTATCACCACCGGCCGTTTGCTAACGATTTGTCTCTCAACGGTACAATAATCTACTCTACATAATATTACTAACAAAATGGCCACTCTATTCTAAATTAATATTGCACTTGCGTATATTAGAACGTTTTAATCGAGACCAATATATACAAATATTTATCTACTATTATTGCCTGCGTTATAAATATTAAAATACGAAATTAAACTCTATTGTTTATACGTTTAAGGACTATAAGAAATTTTATGTAAGGTAAATGTAAGTTTGCAAGATGTAATTTGAACGTGGAACGTCCAAGCAATAAGCTATTGGTCGTTGCAGCTGTGGCGTCCATCGAGCTCAGGGTTGCCAGCGTATATTTAGAATTAATTTATATGGATTATTGGATGTAATGTGAATGCGGTTTTATTGCGCCAATTGTAAATAAATCAATGTACTATATTACCGGTATATGTTTAGAACAATTCAATGAGACTGTTTAAATACTTCATTATGTATAGTTATAGGAACGTTGTACGTCTTGCAATAATGTTCTTATTTTTATATGATGTCTCCTTTCTTCCTACAAATTATAGAACTTTAGAATACCGTATGACCTATAGTTACGTTAAAGTAGAATAAATTATGTTTTTTATCTCAATAGTCATAGGCAAAGCTAGGTATTACATTTTGTCATAAGAAAAAAGTATAGTTTTCACTATTAAAATAATGAAAGCTGAAAAGAACAGAGTTTATATATTTTATACAATTTGACAATATAACTATATTTTACCCACAACTTCGTGCGCAAAATTGCAGCCTCTATTTCTCAAATTGCAGATTTTTATTAGAAATGAAAGCTAGCCTATGTCCGTCTCCGTTATACGATCTATCTTCAAGTCAAATTTCATTGAAATCAATTCAGCCGTTTAGCAGTGAAATGGTGGCAGACAGACAGAAATTATAAATATCCATAGTAAGGTTATTAATGCGAAAGTTCTCTAATACGTGACATATGAGTTGTCACGTCACAGCCTGTTCCAATCATTTCAATATTATTTTAATGACATTGTTCAGTGTAAGTATATCTAGTGGCTTATCAGAGATTAATGTGTTATGTTTTTTAATAGATCGTTTAATTTATGTGATACACCTACATGTAGAAAGACAAGATAAAATGATCAATTGTAATGTAATTAAAAATCAGAAATAGATATTTGTTATTTCAATTCACATAGATAAGGTAGATTTATAATTCTAACTGTATATAAAACAGATATATATTGTAAGACGATATTGTTATTATCTACTGTTATTAACTCGAATATGTTTGAATCTGTGATATACAAGTTTTTTGTATGTAGTTGTAATAGGAAACACGCTTTCGGTCAAAGGCAATGGTAAGTGGTCGTCGCCTATACATTTAAACAACACCTCATATCTTACAATGCTGCATGACGGCTGAAAGAGGTAAGACTGATGTAGTCACAGAGACGACTTTGCACAAAGTCTACTTTGGTAAAAGTACTTATCATTGTAACATTATAATTTTTCTAAAAGTTTTATACTTCTTAAGTTCGTAAAGTATAACGGCATATTAGACATATTATGATACAAAGATATTATATATTCTCATCATACTAAAAAATATTTAAAATGATCATTTACATATCAAAATACTAATAATAGCTAAAGTATTAATAATATTTATCAATAATTATTTTCTATTTTGGAACAGTCAATTTGGCACAGTGTGTATAAATTTTAATTTCTCGAGTGGCAACCCTTGCCAGCGTGATTGTGTTCGCGCCACATCATCTGTCTACGATCCACGATATAGCGATGGTTTAATTTGTTGCACGCTGTCTGCTGCACCATGTTTAGTCTAGGCTTTATATCTGTTACTGGATTTAGGACGTGCTTTCATATTCGATTTTTATTTTCCATTTGTGTCCTTAGTCCTTATATTTGTATATAGAAAAAAAGTAAACATGGTGGAATGTATACAACAGACCAATTAACACATTCATCCATTTGTGTCCTTAGTCCTTATATTTCTATTCTAGAAAAAAAAAGTAAAGATGGAGCTCTATATATGTACCACAGACCAATTACTAACTACATTTGTACTATTACCTCTATGGGAATTGAACCAATTTATAAAGGTTTTAAAAAATAACAGCTTGCATAGTTTTAATACTAAAATCGTTTGGTTTTAAGTAAAACAGGCTTAATCATGCGGACAAATCGTTGAAATTAATGTATGCAAAAAATTATTTACATATATGCCCATTGGTGTCACAGATCATACAAAATTTATTTTGCACTTAGTGACGCGATTATAGCACAAGTGAAGTCAGTGTTCTTTTTTTAAATATATTGTGTGGACAGAGAAATAGTCATAGAGATATGATAGAATATCTGATGACGTCGAGTTATTATTCATCAATGTAAATGAAATAGAGCAAGCAATTATATTGTTATGAAATATTTTAAATTAATCATTTTTTTCTTAGTTATTTCAGGTAATAACTAAACTGTTTTCTGATAACACAAGATATGGTTTATTGCACTTGGCAAATATTGACCCGAAACGAACTTGCATCTAGGACCGTAAAATAATTTAATAAACTTAACTTAATTTAATTTTTCACAGTGGTTTCGTAGTATACTGGTCTATATGAGGTGCTATTATGAAATATAAAATATGATTATATTATTCGAAAATTCAAGACATAAAATGAACTTCTAAGGATATGAAAAACATAAACAGACTTGGCTGTATGAGCTTAGTTCTCTTTGCCTTTCCGAAACGATAAAGGGAACAAAAGAAAAACGTTATTATGTATGCTTTCCTGTGCCAGTATTATACCAGCGCGCCTCACGTAGAATAACATAATTTTTGTTTCCAATAATATACAAATTACTATAATAGTACCCACGATTTGGTGAACAAGCGATTACAATAAGCAAAGCCTCAATAACCAACTCCTTTATTATTTGATTACGGAATTAATAAATTAAATTGTAAGAGGCATTTTTAGGATATAGAAACTAGGACATAATTAATTATTGGTCATTTTAATAATAGTCTTTAGCCTATTGTTGACTAATATGTGAAAAATACATCCGATTTCCTTCAGTCGTTTACGTGATACATTAACAAACAAAGAGACAGTTTCCGCCTCGTCACGATTTTACGATTTTTTTATATGTAACGAAGATGAAAAGATATATGATAGTGTAATAACGAGTACGCTCTTAACATTATCGAGTTTATCGATAATTACATTTTCAGACAACTTGATGCGTCGATTTACACGATTCTCTTTTTACGTCGTTACCGACGATCGTAAAGTGACAAATAAAATGCATCGACTTTGTTTGATTGGGCTATTATAGCTTTATTTAGATCTTACTCCTTTATAGTACACAACAAATTGATATAAATGATTTTATCGATGGTGTCTGCGTGTTTACAGCTTTATATGTAGCAAGGTAGCTTTTTTACTCATTTGTGAGATTGTTTTTTACTCTTTTGTGTACATCGTGGTTTAGTGGTTTATTAACTACTAGCTGTTCCCGCAACTTCGTCCGTGTGGAATTTAACTTTATTTTTCTAAAATTTCTATTTCTATTTCCTAAGTTACTCATTATTACATCAGCTGCATGCCAATAAAAGTGCCGTCAAAATCAGTCGAGCCATTACAGGGATACGCCAGAACAAACAGGCAGACAAAAATGGTAAAAAATGGTATTTTGGTGTGTGTACCGTATTCATATGCATGATAAAAAAGGATTATTTCAATATTACAAACAGACACTCCAATTTTATTTATATGTATAGATTGAATAATTATTTATTTATTATTATTAATATCTTTGAACTTTTAACTCGATTTTAATTTATCTTTTTTTATTTTAAATTT